GACGACTACTATACGTAGTAGTGTTACGTTAGTACGTACGTATAACGTAACGTACGTACCTACTACTACTATAGTAGTAGTATATTATATATATATATATATATATATATATATATATATATATATACCGCAATTTGGACTTCCGAATATTCACCATTTAAAGGAAACATAAAAAACCCAAAAAAAGGGACGTGCATGAAGTTGAAATTTTGGGGCATTTTTTTTTAATCCTGCAAAAGGAAGGGATGTTTACGCTAATTTCCCAAGACATTAGATGCTAACACATACTTTAAAAAACTACGGAAAGTATGATCCGTTGCTCAATATGAAAAACGAAACATGTAAGAATCTCAATGAAAATTTTCAGAACTCTTAAAATGCTGCAACTTTCATACTAATGGGTAGTATTTGTAGAAATGGATAGTAGTGCCAATATTGGATTTAATCTCATTATCATCATCATCATCATCCTAGCTTTTTTCCAATTAATTGGAGTTGGCTACTCGAATCTTAGTCCGCCATTCTGCTCTATTAAGAGTCGTAGCCTCAGTGAGGCCAAAAATCCTCATATCTTTTCGGAATACTTCTAACCACGTCCTTTTGGGCCCACTCCTTGCCCTTTTCAATCCTTCCACTTGAACTAACTCGCACCTCCTAACAGGTGTTATACTGGGTTGGTGCCACATATGGCCAGCCCACTACTACTCTCGTTCATCTTATTGCCTATTGGTGCCACACCTAAATTTTTTTGAATGGACTCATTTTGAATTCTATCCCTCTTATCTTGCTACTCCTTCATCTCAACATCCTCATTTCTGCTACACTTATTCTGTGGGTATATATTGTTTTTTGTCTACCTAACATTCCGCCCCATAGAGCAAAGCTAGTCTCACAGCTGTCCTATAGAACTTACCTTTGAACTTCATTAGTATACGACGATCACATAGAATTCCAGTTGTACATCTCCACTTTGCTCACCTAGCTCTAATTTTGTGTGCTATATCTTCTTCAATCTCTCCATTTTCTTGGATTATCGACCCAAGATATTGAAAGTACAGTTTGTTTTGTACTTCTTGGCTGTCAATCTTAACTACTTTCTTGTCTCTACTCCTATTATTACTGAACTTGCATTCCATATACTCTGTCGTAGTCCGGCTAATTTTGAAACCTGTGGATTCTGGAGTATCCCTCCAACGTTCTAACTTTGTGTTGACGCTGTTTCAAGTATCATTAATCAAAACTACGTCATCTGCGAACAACATGCACCACGTTACCTCATCCTGTAGGTGCCTAGTAAGTCATTCATAACTAAGACAAAGAAGTATGGGCTCAATGCTGACCCTTGATGTAGACCTATTGTCACTGAAAACTTACTCGTCTCTCCACTAGTTGGTCGTACACTAGTCAGTGCTTCGCTGTACATATCTCTCACCAAGTCGGTATAGGATCTGGAGACTCCTTTCTTTTCTAAC